TTCTAATCAAGAATCCGAGATCATTTTCTTTCTTTATTTATTTATCTCTCTCTCTCTCTCTCTCACTCTATCATTCTTTTTATTACTTTTTCTTTCTATCTTTTTTTTTTTTGTATGATGATACAAACAAGGTAGTACAGAAAAATACTTGATACATTTTCTAAATTTTTAATTACATTTTATAGTGTATTAGTGTAGTAATAGTAATATTTATCTATTTGTATTATTTCTCTTCTACTCTCTTTTCTAGAATTAAATTAATATTGCATTCAATTATATAAATAATCCAATAATAATACTTATCTATTTTTTTTTATATAAATCTTGATCATGCTTTTTCTAAAATTAAATTAATATTATCTATCTTTAATGATGTTTTCTTTAAACTAATAATAATAATAAGTATAATCATTTAGTTATCTATGATCTTATCTATTTTTCATCATCTGTTATATTAGACACCTGTGTGTATACATATTATCCATATAATATCTATGCACATAGGTAATACACATGTAACCTCAATTTGTCGAGCAAACGTTATTAAGAGTATTTCAAAGTCATCCTCTCTCTCTCTTTCTCTCCTCTCTCTATCTCTCGTGGTGCTGCCTCCATCATTGATCACTCTTGTAGTTTACACGCCATAACGCTGCTGCTGCTGCTGCTGCTGCCTATGACACCGTTCCTTTATTAAAGAGGACGTCGAGAGAAGTGCTCCAAATGCTCTTCCTCTTTTACCTCTTCTTCTTCTTCTTCTTCTTCTTGATCCTCCAAGATCCATCATACTTTTTTTTATTTTTTTTATTTTTTTTTTACTTCTACTTTATATCTACTCTACTTTTGTCTATTTTATCTTTTTTTTTTTTTTTTAAATTTGTTCACATGATTTTCTACGAGAAAATCAGTCAGTTACATTCTTTTTCTTTTTTTTACCTTTTTAAATATTTATTTATTTATTTATTATTGTACAACGTTCATATAATTCGTTTAACATATAAATTGATGTTTCAAGAGAGATAATGAATAATTAAAATGTTTCAAGATAGTGTGCAAGATTGTAATTTATTTTCAACATGCAAATTACTATTTTAGATTATTATTTATTCTATCTTTTCTTTGATTATTATTTATTTATAAATATTAAATAGAACAAAATTGAAGTTGACTTGATTATATAATATCTCTTCACTTTGTATATCAATCATTTTTGTTCTCTTCTTCAATGATTTTAATCAATATGAAGTCAAAGATTGTCGATTAATCTTCAATGATATCTAATCTCGTTAGTTAAAATAAAAATAGAGCTATTTTTAAATAATTTCATTAAATTCAGACTCTTTCAATCTTTAATAATTAATTAAATATAACCGAAATAAGATTATGTGACATTTACAAGATTTGAGTTATTATTTCTATTTAAAAACCAATATTTTAAACACAATTGTTAATGTATAAACGAATTATATGATTTTATGGTTACGACCAACAATTTAAGTATCAAAGTAAATTATCTAAAAAAAGAAAACTCTGTGGAAGTTTGCAAAAAAGATATTACAACTTGCATCCCCAACGATCATAACTCATAACAAGTACTAAAAAGACATCACTACGTGGAACGACCAAAAAAAAAAAAAAAACAAGTTGTAAACATTTCTCTTTTTTTTTTTTATGTTCTTAATCTCGAACTTTTGCGACATGAAACCGATTCAAACTTTAGAATAATAACTAAATGCTATTCCTCTTGTTAAAGATTTATTATAGCTAGAACTTTACCCAAATGAGTTTTACCTTGGAATGCGTTATTAGACTGTTCAAATATTTAAGTATACATACATATACTACATACATGCATAGATGTATAATCAAGAAATTATGGGATTTTTTTTTTTTACACTTTCTCTACAAATTTTCATACAACTCACGTACCACAAACAAGTACATTTACGTTCTATCATTTGTTACAATGATAACGAGTTTGTCAGTTTAGTTTAAACAAAAATGATAGACAACAAAAAAAGACAGAGACAGAATATCGAGTTGGTAAACGAGCTTAATCTTTTTGTTTTGTTTTTGGACTATCTGAAAGAGAGACCACCGATGCTTCCAACATATTGCTTTCCCATGACGTATTTGTCGAAACTTTGTTACGTATGTTTCTCACAGTTATCATGCATAACAAGTACGAGGGTGAGTTAAAAAGTTTTGTGAGCCTTAATCTCTTCTCTCTAAAAAAAAGGAACAAAAAAAAAACTTGGGGTTGAACGGAAAATAAATGGTATCTGTGTTAGGTTCAAAACTTTTCAACTCGCCCACCACGTATAAATTGTCGTTGACAAAAAAACGATCCTTTCTCTYTCTCTCTCTCTTTTTTTTTTCTATCGTGTTTTGCCCGGTTAAAGTTCGAGGCTACCACCGCCAAGAAGAAGAGGTCTGTGCTTGAATAGTGTCGCTTCGCGGAGTACACCTCGCTTTGTTACATCTTCAAGCGTATATACTGTATAAGACACTTCTCTTCCTTTTACCTTTTCTCCCTTTTTTCCTTTCTCCCTGTTTTCTTCAAACCCCTCTYCCTCTCCCTCTCTCTCTCTCAACTACTATCGAGTTTTATTACTCGTGCGGCGACCCCGTATCTAACTTTTCAACATTTTATTTGATAAGATTGTTCGTACTATTAAACGATAGGACAACTTGCAAATAAAGGTGTGAACACTTTTTCCTAATTTGTATTTTATTGTATTTTAGAACGTTTTTGTTCTCCATTTGTAAAATATTAGTAGTAACACTTCCTTGAAATTATTTTATTTTATTATATTATTTTGTGCACATTGAAATTTCAATAGATCCGTTGTATGTAAAATTCATGAAATTGCAACAACTCTTCAAAAACTCGTGACCTATAGTTACCTATCACCGCGCTGAGGGTTAAATAAAAATGGAACGAAATGTCAGTCAGATTTCATACACGAATATACACACGCACATATACATAAACAAAGCATACAAAGAGGAAAGAGAGAGGACACAGATAAACGATCTCTCTCCAATGGATTTTTCTATATCCGTCGTTTGATCAATTTATTGGAAACCTCGTAACACACGAAATCCGAAATATTCCAGTCGGCAAATGAAATAGGATTCACATACCAGCTTTGATTTTTCGACAAAATATAAATTAATAATCGCGTTACGAGACTGTATTTTAATTACACGACTATACAATGAACGTGTACGTATATGTATATCTGTATATGTGGGTGTGTGTGTCAAGATGATACGAACAAAGTGAAGTGCAGTTAGGTCGCATTAAAAATGTATAACAAATTGCATGTACAATGAGTCATAAGAGCCCCTGAATTGAATTCAAAGGTAGCCACTTCGAACAGTTTCTCTGAAAACTATGAAACAACACGGTATAATAGAAAAATTCTAATTCGTAGAAGGTCATACAGAGAATATAATTTTATATGAACTTATTGTCTTCGTTTAAGTTTAAATGAAACTATCATTAAAGTTACGCTCACATATTTTGAAATATTCTGTATAAACTGTATGAAAAATCAATGATATTTCGTTCCCTTTTGATTGGATACAAAGTTTGAAGTTATTACAACGTTTTGATCATTTTCGCAATATAGTTATGAACACGTTAGCATCATCCTTGTTAACGACTGCGTCATCGACTTAACGCGAGTTCTATATTCGTGGGCTTTATTAAACCCAGTGAGGACCGGTGTATTCTAGCTTAATAAATATACATGCATTCTTGATTCGTCCATCGACCGTGTCCAGCAGCTTACTCTGGCAACGACACTTAACCTTCTTTCTTCTCTTGTTATATATATATTTATATATATATATATACAGTGAGTCACAAGAGTATTCGTATTCGCTCTCAATGTATATTTGAAATAATTGATATTAGCTTTGAAAATGCAAACTTTCAAAATTCTCATACAAAGAGATATGTTTGATATAAATTTAATTGTTTAACAAATAAATAATAAACCATTTATAAAAGACAAGCATTCGTGGAACAAAGTAGGCTTAATCGTACTTCCCATACACATTACACATAAATATATATATGGATCCAATTCTTTCGATATTTTTAAGTGTCGAAATAAAAGAAAAAAGAACTAGAGATTGGAAAAATGTATTTTTATTCAAAGTTACGTGAAAAACTAGTCGTGCGGTATATTAGAAACACGTTACTGCATATAACACATTATATTGCTTTTCAAATCGTTGAATCAGAACGCTTGCCCAACAAGATAAAAAGAACAAAAATGCACTCAAGCAATTACGAATGTTTGCGACCGATAGAGAAATTTACTATTCGAGCGAGACTAAAAAAGATAAATATATATATATGTGTGTATGTGTATGGTATAGACGTATGTTTATTACATACATGGTATATAGTAGAGGCAAGCTTGAATTTAGAATCTTCGTAACTCTTTATCTTCTATCTTGTTCCTCTTCTCCTTGGAGACCCTTACTTCATTGATATTTACTATTATGGTGTATAGTGTAGCTAGGGTTAAGGTATACATATGCATTAAACGCGAAGTACCGAATAAAATATGAGTCAAGGAGCTCGTCAGATAGGAGCATCGAAATGAGTGCTCTCTTAATCATGAAATTATTTATTTTTTTCATATTTTTTTGTTAACTATACATACACGAATAATTTATTATGATTTTATATATATTTTTATCATTCTTTTAGAAAATATTTACGTATGAATAATGAAGTAGTCAGGTATCTTCTTCGGATTATTCGACTGTACAAAAATATTTGCTAAAATTATGAAAACGATACGAGATATACATAAAATTGCACATACATAGATTTCAACGCACCAACGATGATTATTTAAAATAAACCTAACATTATTGTATTATTGTTCTAACTTTAAATGTGTTTCTTTAATATTTCCTATATTTTTACTTTATTTTGAAAAATCAAATGTGATCATATGTACATTTGTTTGTTTTAGTTTTTCCAAATGTGCCGCCCGCCCCAGGAATGCCTTGTCAAGGAGAAGACAGTGAGTTTGTTTAATTGCATTTCAATGCAATTAGTATTTATATATAGTAAACCTAGAATATTATACCGATGCTCGTTGTTATTGTGTTTTATAGTAGTGTTGCTTTCGAATCGTGTCTTGATACGTAAACTAGCCAGCGAGTTGGTCGACAAACGACAATAAAATGGATCAACCCCATCGATGGAAAATTTGTAAATCGATCCGAACGATGAATCATTTACTAATCATTATAACTCATAGTCATTTTCATCGTCATCGTCATCGTTCGTCATACAGATGAGAATCTTTACAGATGTACGAAATTTATGAACATGTATTCTGTGCCAAATAATTGAATTCAAAAGCTATGTTTATATCCAAGTAATATTTTTCTCGAGAAAATGAAAGCTTTTTATGCACGGAGAGAAAAACATTCGAAAATTTCGCGCTAATCTCGAGGACGACGAAATAAGCGTAGAGAGATGTTTACAAATTTTCCGTCGTGGGTCGTTGTCGTTCTTTTGTTGTATTTTACATAGATATTTTCTTAACTTACATATTTCGCGTAAAACGGGATCATCCTTCTCGCGATGTGTAGTGTGTTCTGTTTTAAAACACGTGCGGTACTTCTGATCAAAGCATGGAACATTTGAGTCTAATCCAACTTTTCCTTCATGTTGTCCAACACGGTTAGAGAAACGTTTCAATTTTATTTACACGTGAATAATGCGATTAAAATGGTACATTCAAACGTAGTACGTGAAAGAAAAGCGTGAAAAGTAGAAGAACAAAAAAAAAACGAAAACAATTAATTGCTTGGAAAAAATTAATAGTCTTTGTAACACATTAAAAATCATTTTTAATTATTTTACATATCATCACACGAGTAGCAAATCCACAAAACCACACATATAAATACATGCATACATGAACCACATATAAAATATGCAACACTACATAAGAATTTACATTAATACACCCACACGATCATTTATTTTAGCAATTCTGTTGCCACTTCCGTTGCTATGCGTTGTTGTCATTGTTGTTGTGTTGGATGTGTTCAGTGTATGTGGTTATTACGATGTCATGCTTAACTCTCTCACACTATGATTTAATTCTCGTCTTTTATTTCAATTGTTTTTTGTTTTTATTTCAATGTATTATATGTGAGGGGGAAAAAACCAAAAGTGAATATTACAGGTATTCCAATCATCGTATACCCCGTCACTTGTTAATTTACCACCCCCCCTCATAAAGTTCCTTCAACCATTTGTGACATTTATTTGGTTTCATTTTCCAAAGGAAGCATATACAGACGCGGAGCACGTAGGTGGAGGAAGCTGTACCGGGTGAATGGACATATATTTCAGGCGAAACGCTTCAATCGGGTAAGCACACAAATTTATATACATAGTTTATATATTTTTTTTTTTTATAATTAAAATCGTTCATTATTATTATTTCGAAATATATATGCATATAAACATATATATATGTATATACATATGTATATATTTCTTCTCTCATATACATACCAATCACCATCGAGCTTTTATATATAAATAGAACTTTGTTCCATTCACGTTGAACATAATCAAACGACATACCAGGAAAGAGGAAGAAGGAAACTTGCTGGCTAGTGAAAGTTCGACGATGAGCTTTCTTGCAGGATGAGAATTTTCTCATCTTTTTCTTTTTTCTTTTCTCTTCTTTCTTAAAAAAAAAAAAAAAAAAATATATTAGACGCAAATATTTAATACTTTTCGCTGTTTTTGGCATATATAGTAATCGCTGCCGCCTATGTATTATATTTAAACATATACGTTATTGAATATTATTTCATTGATCATAAACTTGTGCGTGTGTGGGGCTGAAGAGTTTATGTTAATAAATATTTCTTCGATGGTTTGGAGATGCTGAGAATAAAATATGGTGGATCGAGATTTTGATATCTCGATGTGGAATAGAATGTTTTTATATATACGTGTGAGTAAAAAAGAGAAAGATCTACAAACACATGTATATACACATACACGAATAAAAATAAATACACAAATGAAAAGATAAAAAAGGGCCAATATGGGTATAGGTATTACCGATAACTAACTTCCTTGTTTGACTTCCTTCTCAGCGGGCGTTCTGCGCGTTCTGCCAGGATCGGATCTGGGGACTGGGTCGGCAGGGATTCAAGTGTATCCAATGCAAGCTCCTTGTACACAAGAAATGTCACAAGGTGGTGCGGAAGCCCTGTTTGAGCATGCAACAGCAGCAACAACAACAACAACAACAACAACAATTGCAGAGCACGGAATCCCAGACGATCGACAGGAACGGAGATCAACAACAGCCTGATTCTCTCCGTTGCAGTCCGGCTGCTCATCTCGAAGACGAGATTGCTGAGTCGCCGATCGTCGAGGAGCACTCACGTAATCGTAAGAAATCTAAACAATCCTAATGAAAACAAATATACAAGAAAATCTTGTGTATTATTGAAGATATTATTGAATGAAGAATTCTTATTAAATGTATGAATTGAAAATAAACAGGAACCAGCAGTTACGAAGGGGAAGAATTGGCATTGGACACGGGTACCGGGGCTGATAATTCAAACGATATGCAGAGACAGTACTCGTTGAACGATTTCGAACTCATCAGGGTGATCGGTCGTGGCTCATATGCAAAAGTTCTAATGGTCGAACTTAAACGTACTAAGAGAATTTATGCGATGAAGGTGATTAAAAAGGCATTGGTAACAGATGACGAGGACATTGACTGGGTGCAAACGGAGAAGCATGTATTTGAGACTGCCTCGAATCATCCCTTCCTCGTTGGCCTTCATTCTTGTTTCCAAACACCCTCGCGACTCTTTTTTGTTATCGAATTCGTCCGAGGTGGAGATCTTATGTTCCACATGCAAAGGCAGCGTCGACTTCCAGAAGAACATGCACGCTTTTATGCTGCTGAAATTAGTCTTGCGTTAAACTTCTTACACGAGAAAGGTTAGTAATAATTGGAAATTTGGTTAATAAATAAATGCGCGCGACTTTTGCTTTTCACTTGGATAAAGAAATAATGAACAAAATTAATTTCGACAGGTATAATATATCGAGATCTAAAGCTGGATAACGTATTGCTGGATCATGAAGGACACGTCAAGTTAACAGATTATGGAATGTGCAAAGAGGGTGTACGAGAAAGTGATACTACTGCTACTTTCTGTGGGACACCTAACTATATAGCTCCAGAGATATTGCGTGGAGAGGATTATAGCTTTTCAGTCGATTGGTGGGCTCTCGGCGTTTTATTGTACGAAATGCTTGCGGGTCGTAGTCCTTTCGATATAGCTGGTGCTTCGGAGAATCCCGATCAGAATACCGAGGATTATCTCTTCCAAGTAATATTACAAAAGACGATTCGTATTCCGCGATCGTTATCGGTAAAGGCCGCTTCCGTTTTGAAAGGCTTCCTTTGCAAGGATCCCGCTGAGAGACTTGGTTGCGGAAAAAGGCCTTCGGCCTTTATCGATATAGTCACACATTCTTTCTTCAAGGCTATCGATTGGGATATGGTATGCCACTTTCTTTCTTTCTTTGTCATTCATAAAAATAGATAGGTGATTTTTCGAATATAATGGTTCTAACGAGCTATGATGTTAATCGATAATCCGCAGCTTGAACATAAGCAAGTCACGCCTCCATATAAACCACGCTTGGATTCTGATCGAGATTTGGCTAACTTCCCACCAGAATTCACCGATGAACCAGTACATCTAACGCCGGACGATCCGTAAGTTCTTTTATCTTTGATGAAATTTATTTGGAAGTTATTTTATGAAACTCTGTTATTTTTCATTTATACAGACTTTTTTCAGACTTATCATTGCCATATTGGTTTAAATTAGATTTTAAAGATTATTTCATCAAATTCATTGTTATAATTAACAGTGTATAATAATATCATTTTACTGACATTAGTTTCTTTCATATTTTTCTAGGAGAGTTATTGATAAGATTGATCAAAGCGAGTTTGAGGGTTTTGAATACGTGAATCCGTTATTAATGTCTCTGGAGGATTGTGTGTGACAAGAGCCGCTTGTAGTATTGCCACGGCACATTCAAGAACAGCAACAACAACAGCAACAACAGCAACAGCAACAACAAATGCAACAGTTTTACATGGAAGAATTGTCGAACAAACTGTCAAAGTTACGAATCGATCCCCTCCTTCGTATAAGCTCTGAAAATCAGGGATATCATAACGATGTTTTCGTAATGACCTATTCGCAAGAAAATGAGAACGACAATAATTACAACGAGTATCATCTGCCGCCAATCTTCCCGTTTCGATACGAAAGGCCGATGTGCTCCCGTTCTCTTAGTATTACTGATGTCACTTACGATTCTGGTAACAATAACAGCAACAGCAGTAGCAGTAACAGCAACAAAATGGATAATAACAACGCAGTTGTTTCTACTAACAATTATGATGAAAACGATTACGATGATGTGGAGGATGAGAGTCCTAGAAAAGGATTATTGAAGCAGATATTTTGCCTTCCATTAAATTAAGATCCTTATACACACATACACATAAAAATGGGGCGAGGGGGTTTTTCTGCGTTTTTAAAATGAAACGAAAGGAAGAGAAGATAAAAAATAAAAATAAAAATAAAAAAAAAATAATATAAAAATAAAGAAGGAAGAAATATTTGCTTCCCGGTATTATTATAATAATACGATAAACGATGATCGATTATATCTATCGTCATTTTTTTATAAACAAAGACAGATATGAGATTTGAGGCCTACGATAATGTTGTGAACTTTTATCAAAGTTCTCTCGTTTGACTTCTGTCAAAGTAGTAGGACGAGCGCATTCAAATTCGTCATACATTCATATATACATGTATATATACATATGTGATATATACTTTCATATATATATCATATATATAATATATACACTCACACATTATAGGAATTGTACCCTTACTTTAATTCTCTTGACATGGTGCTGCAATATGAATTTATTCTATTAACGTCTAACGTTATTTTCAGCTACTTTTAATGCTGGGAAATGAGGTTAAAGAAAATAATTAAGAAGAAGTAGTAGAAGATGATGATTATAACGATGATGATAATGATGATGATAATGATGACGATGGGGATGATGATAAGGAAGAAGAAGAGGAAAGGTGGTAACAGGAGAAGAAGGCAGAAGAAGGAGAGGGAGAAGATTAAAAAAAAAAAAAAAGAAGAGAAAACGTACCTGACTGCTTCGACTAATCTCTCTTTCTAATTTAAAATATGTTATTCCATTGTGCAGTCATTCCACTTATATCTATAGGTATAGATATATAAATATAATATACAGACATAAATACATACATTTACACATATACTAATTAACGACGATTAATTAACAGTTTTTGCTTATTCTTCAAATTTGAACGATAATTTTAATCTGTTCAATCTAAGTTTAATCAGGCGAAGTAAGTTGACGCGATTTAACAACAATAACTAAAAAAAAAGTATTATAAGAATTAGAAATTAGATGCATTTTAAATGCCAACATACCAAACGTATAGGTGTAATAAATAATATTTCTACGATGATCGACTAGAAATGATTGAGAGAATTTTTCAAGTATTTTCCTTTGTTGTTTAGAAATTTTCTTTTCTTTTTTTAATTGCTTTTTTTTTATTCATATATATATATATATTTTTATTTTGTTTTAATTGAACTAATAATTACACCGAAAAATATAGCTTACAATTAAAATATACGAATAGTCATGTAGTCAAATGATAGACACTTTGAAAGTGTGTATGCACTTTGATTATATACCGCGTTATTATTAACAATGAAACGTTATTCATATATTATTATATATATATATATATGTAAGATATATATATATATATATATATGTAAAAATATATCAAGTCGTTGTAACTGTGGAAAAAAATAACACGTTCCAAATATCTTTATCGAATGTTTGTGTAAAACCATGCGCAAACTTATATAATTGAACCGATTATTATAAAAGTGGTGTTTATTGTTGACAAACAAAACATTGAGGAAACTTAATTTTTATTAAATATAAATAAAATATCTAAATTATGAGTGTTTCTCAATTTTTTTCAAATGTCCTTACACTACTTTCATAATAAGAGGTAAATTTTTTTTTTTTTTAATATATAGTTTATTTAGAGAGCGATAGACAGAGAGTATTAATAAAATGTACATATAAAGTCAATTAAGAACGTATTTTCTAGATGCTACATTTAATTATACCGTTTGTATAATTGCATTCGCTTGATAACAAATAAAAATGATATTATTATTATTATTATTATTATTATTATTATTATTTGCATATATATTTTTGTTATTTTTTTATTTGCTTGTTTCTTGCTTCGTTTCTTTCGAGAGAGAAAAAAGAACCTTGTTTGCAGTTACAACGATTTTTATACATTGACCTGAAGTATTGCTAAATTAAAAAAAAATATAAAAGACAAAAAAAAATGAAGAAGAAGAAGAAGAAGAAGAAGGAAAAAAGTATTTATTAAAAAAAATGCCAATTCTCGGAAAATAATTAGTTAAATACTTTCAAAGAAAGATAATATTACATATGTATAAAAGGATAAAAATTAAATCAATTCGAATTATATTGCAAGTACACTTTGAGAGGATAAAGCAGAATGTGTTATTGAACTTTCATTTACGAATGTTGCGTATTACACCTTTTTAAATAAGATTAATTAAAAATAATAATTATTAATATTGTTTAATAAGACAGAATTTTAAATAAAAAAGAAAAAGAAAGAATAAGAATAAAAAAAAGGAGACAAAAATGCAAAATATGAAAGTTGTCGATAGGAAAAGAGAGAAAGAGAGAAGAGGAGGAGGAAGTAATATTTGGTTTTCATATAAATTTATGCGAGGACAAAAAAATTATATAAAAAGAAAATTATAAAAAAAAAAAAAAAACATATATATAAATATATAAATAAAGAAAAAAAAAAGAAAAAAGAAACCAAGTGCTGAAGTTTGTAAACGCACTGATTATAGATTGTATTCAATTTTTAAAATGATTGATAAAATAATTCGTTTTCGATTTAAACGCGACGATAGGAGTCTGATTTTAAAGTGACAACATTTATCAGATATTTACTAGATTTAGATAGATAAGTAAATAAATAAATACATAAATAAATAAATAAATGAATATATGAAGTAATTATACGGCACATATAACTTCAACATGATGTGTGATCGTCTTAAATAAAAATTAAATACATTCTCTAGCCTGAGAAGTTATAATTCGATAGAGAAATTTTATATTGCCGTTATATAAAAATATATATATATATATATATGAAAACGATTGAGACAAAATGAATATTAAAATAAGATTTTATTGGAATAGAAGAAAAATAAATGAAAAAAGGAAGAAAACAAGAATGAATGAAAGAAATGGTACGCGAAGGCTTTAGTATAATAATAATTATAATACTATTACTACTAATAATGATACTAATAATAATAATAATATTATTAATAATAATAGTAATAATAATATGATTCCTATATACGCCATTTTTTCGAGTCTAAGTATTTACTTTAATTAATGAAGAAAAAGATAATGGACAAATGAGAGATATTAAATAAACATTCATTTACACACGCGTATAAAACGGCATTGAGAAAAAGTAAATGTATATTTATCGCATATATATATGCGGATAAAACATTTATTATAATAACAATAATAATAATAATAATAATAATAATAATAATAATAATAATAATAATAATTATAATAATTCTAGTTAGATCATTGCACGATATATTCAGGGTGGTGGTTGCATGAGAGAGATATATCTTATTCGTCGTATTAAAACACGTTAAACGTTATATAATACATGTTATATACATATATATCGCTTTTATTGATTAACTTTTCCTATATATATATAGAATCGTCGAAATAATATTAATAATAATAATTAAAAAAAATATATACATAAAGATATAAAATTCTTTACGATAATATCTTCTCTACAATTGTCCGACCACCCTGTATTATTAACTCGCATGTACATATATACGCATGTACATAGCTTTAAATGAAATAACAACAAATGGATAAATAAATAAATAAATAAATAAATATATTAATTAATTAAATGAAAGCAAAAGTATGTATTGAGTCGTAAGTATTTCTGTAGATTTAAGAAGATACAATTATTGTTAGGACTATTTGAAAAATTCTTGGCCTTTGTTTTTTAATTCCTTTTTTTTTTAGAAAATTTTGTTTTAATATAAATTACATGAAGTGGAAAAAATAGAAAGGAGCATGAATTTTTTTAACTGGTCCACGTAAAGAAGAACTCTAAAATAATATATCAGGGGACTGTGGTTATTTGTAATATAGTAATTTCAGTACTATAGATATATATACATATATTATATAATACTACTATTACTACTACTACTACTAAAAAACATTAACAACAAAATTATTGTACTTTTGTTAAGTTAAATAATTTTTTTTATTCGTGACAATCATCGTCGTTGTTGTCGCAATAAGTTCATTTGGAAAATATTTTATTGTCTATTCGCTAACGAAGTTATCAAATTATTATTATTTTCAACGAGTGTATTTGAGGCCTTTAAAATTGCGTTATATTGATTAATAAATAATGTAATATTATTTATTAATAACTTCGTCGGTGATTTACCTAACGTCCGCGCACTTTTTGCTTCCAGCAGCTCAGGCACACGTTAGAAAAATAAAAAGAAAATAGCAGAAGGCTAAATAAAATGACAGTTTAATTAGAAAAAAAAAAAAAAAAACAATATGTCATAACTAATAACTAATGCAGATTAAGAAAAGTTATATGAATGCTAGCATATTACAAAGACCGCATTGTTTTTATATAGAGCCATGGTATATATATACATATATAATAATTATTAATGTTAATTGATATTATTATTATTATTATTATTATTATTATTATTATTATTATTATTATTATTGGATGTGCGATATGGTAGAGTATAATAAGCTCATAAAAACTGCAAAAGTTGAATTTGTATTATTTTTATTTGTACGATTTCTGATGTATCTAATCTTCTAATATTAGAACGATGATTAGATATACGTACCACGACGTTTAATTATTATTTTTATTCCTGACGTTATTATCCTATTATTATAATTATTATAATATAGTAGCTTATATATACATATATATAAAGAGATAAACAAAACTAAACGCTTATAATCCTAGGATTTGTCATGCGATTAATTTGCTAATATCATATTCGCGCACCGAAGGTGAAGTTATTTGTTGTATTTATCCATCGTGATAAAAAAAAAAGGTTGAAAAGCCTCTATTGTTCATGCTTTTCCATTTCTTTCGTGTTTTAACGCGACAAGAAACTACACACACACACACACACATAGTACATATATTACGGATGGCCTCATTATTACTGTTTAAAACTATCCTACGTATATTTGAAAAGAAATTGTGCTAAAAACGTTATTACTGCATACACATTGCCGTTTAATAGTATTTTTATAAAGTTATGTTTTTGCAAATAGAATTATTGAGCATTAAATATATCGTACATTAATACAACAATTATTATTATATTATTATTATTAATATTAGTATAGAATACTATTACTATTATTGTCATATTATCATTATCATTATTATTATACTTTTTATTATTATTATCGTTATCATTATCATTATTATTATCATTATTATTATCATCACATTAATTTACGACGTGAAAAAGCGAATTGGTTCCTTAATCGATAGTACGAAAATAAATAAGTAATTACCGCAAAAGACACAATTATTTATGTATTATCTACAAAGTTAAAAAAAAGAAGGAATAGAGATGAAAAAAAAAATAGAAGAGAAAATAAAATGCAAGATAATATCTTTAAAAAGGAATTGTAAAGAGAGAACTTAGTCGAGATATCTTGCGGTTAACTTTAAAGAAGGGCATGTATTTTAAAGAGATTAATCACAGGAAGAGAAAATAAATTACAAGAAAAATAAAATTATAACTTATATATATACATAGGTTTGACTGTTCGAAGTTTAATCAGATTGAAAAAAAAAAAAGTAAAGAAAGAGAGAACAAAAATATATATAAAATATATATATATATATATAAATAATTATATGCTCCAACGTTTAAGAATGAAAAAATAAAATAAAATAAATATAAAAATAAAACGATACCTCGTATATAGTTAGTTACGTAGGTAATAAACATAAATAAATAAATATAAAAAATTGAGGAGGGCATATGCTATAGAAAATATGAATTCATTTTTCACTTTCGTGGATCACGATACAAGGATCAACGTTGGTACTTTATAATATTCTCGATACATACAATAAAAGCCCTTATCGAATACATTTGTCAAGTTTATTAATTACATCCTATGGTGCATATACCTACATATACCTATGTTTGTATTTCTGTTTAATTCTTACATTTCCATAAAAAGGAATAATCTAATAAGATGATCTATTTTCTTTAAACAAGAAAATTATTGCAATAATGTAAGATAAAAAATAGTAAACAAAAAAAAAAAGGATCATTTCTTTGCATGCAGAAAATAATTTTTTATGTGATCAGATGACCCTTTATTAAAAGAACAAAAAATTGTGAGAATAATTTAAAAGGAAGATTGTGTTCTTATAAAAGACAAAAAAGAAAAGAAAATGGATTATGATTTTTCGTGATTTTTGAGATAATATTTATCGTGGAGCTTGAGGAAAAAAAGGGTGAGAGCTTTATTAAATCAACGCATCGTCTATTTCTAACTCTCGCCCTTTTTCTCTATCTCTGTTCCTTCTTTTATTTTCTCATCCCTTCTTCTCCTTCTCACCATCAGAGTTTGCGCTATTGCGATTACTTTGCTTTGATCGACCCATACCTTCGTGAACAAAAAAATAATGAAAATATTGTGGATGAAATTAAAGGCACGTTGTTGATCATTCTAACTTTTTTGTCTTAATAAAAAATGCATTAACATTCTTCTTTATTTTATCTTTGGAAAAATAATTTACGATTACGAAAGAGGAAGACAACTTAGATGAATTTTAGTCATATAATACGCGTTTCTTTCGTATGCAGAATCACGTACCATTCGTACACATACAAATATTATTCTATTTAAATTTACATAGATATATCTTTTAAGAATATTTTTTCTTCTCATCATTTAAATCACATTGTTTTACGATTTTGTGCCATAAGTGACATACATTCATTTATATTCCAATGCATAAAACAGAAATCATACATTCATTGCAAATCATTGCATTTTTTTATATGTAAAGGAAGGGTGTTCAATTAAATTGTTTTACAGAAAAGAAATATTATAAATTATAAAATATTATAATTCTATTAAAAAAAACCAACAATGAATTTTGTTTCCTTTTTCTTTTTTTCCTGTAAAACAAGTTTGGAGACACTTTGTA